CACTTTTTCACACCACTGTATCATTGTAATGCTTTCATGGGACCCATTCTTGTCCCACTGGCTCCCACTTAACTCAAACCCTACATTGCAACTTCTGCAATCTGAATAATACACTTGGCTATATTGCAATTTAGATTATATTTTTAAATTAACAGTGCAGGCCTACTTCAAACAGGCTACCTTTAAAATCACCACTGTAACTAAGACACTGTGTGGTATGATATCCTAAATCCAAAACTAAAGAATTTAAGGGTAGAGAGCATGGAATATGTTTGCATAACTGATGAGATAAAGGTAGATGAAAAAATAATCCAAATGAGTTGCCTAATTTAAACCTGGACTATTTGTGAGCCATTCAAAATGTTGTTTTGTTGTGCACATCATAGTTATCGATAGAAAACCAAGAAAGGGGGCTAGAGGAGGAGCACGTGAAGGCAGCACAATGCATTTCCAATGAGAATATTTACCATCCGCTCACTCCTCCTATGGCTATCTGTGTGGCAACGGAGTATTTCTCTGCTACGGGGCCGGAGTTTTTCCCGAAAAGGCGATTCCACCATCGCTGTCGTTTGGCATATTCGGTCAGGTCTACGACTTTGTCGTAAATCTCCCCTTCCAGCTCTTTACACACAAAATAAAAACAGTCAGCATACAATAGCAACGAAGCAGTTACTAGCTAAAAGAATAGTACTGCCATATTAAATCAATCTGTCAAACTACTGCACTTCTTAATTTAACACAATAGTATGAACGCCACACTGCCATAACTTAGTGACAAACCCTATCAGTCCATGTGTTTACATGTGTTTTAAGATAGCTGACGATAACTCCATTCATGGCCTCTCTGGGAACTTAGTAAAGTTCTATATAGGCCGGACAATAAGTTAGCATGAGCAGACAAGTAAAGCTAAGCGACAGTTGAAAAGTTAGCTATTGACGCTACGTCTGAAGACGTCGCGGTTTAAGCGAGAGGGCGGCGAAGCTTTAAGGACGCCCGAATGTAATGTAGAAGTTTAAAAACCTGTCTCATGTGATATTCGTGCTTAGAAAAGTCTCAGTTCAGACAGAGGTGTACTGAGTTTAAAGGCCTAAGTGTTACATACCCTTGTCGCGGTTCGCCATTTTGGAGTGCGCTGGTCTGTCCTCAGCTGCCTGCACGTCCGGCGTCATTTGCATACTTTTGACGGTCAAAGTAAAACAGAAAGCAGACAGATCTGCCTGTGCAATGATATCTTCATTTACACACTATAATAATAAATATGATACTGAGGATTTTGTAAGGCATGTTCAGAACAAAGGTTTAAGTGCAAAGTGTAAAGTGCAAAACATTATTATTACTATTTAAAGCTGCAGTAGGTTATTTTTATATTTAAAAAAAACATTTTGGTCATGTTCGTGGCTGTCCATAATTATAATCTAAACCACTTTCAGTGCATTTTTGCACGATCACCTCATCAGATCACCTAACACTTGAGGTGACGGAGCAGCCAGACTGGCATACTGGCCGACTGTGCCTACAGTTTTTGCTTTTGCTTGGTCTTATCTTTATTGATTAAAGCTGCAGTAGGTAGTTTCTGTAAAAATATTTTTGTCATATTTGTTGAAACTTTCACTTTATCCTGACAGTAGTAATTGGGATGGATAATCTGTTATAACAAAAAAAGGTTCCTCTGGCTCATTGTAGTGGGCCTGAACAAAAACAACCAATCAGAGTCAAGAAATAAAGTTGATTACTGAGTCTCAATTCCAGGTTGTCAAATACCAACCCAAGACGTTCTGTATCTTTCTCAGCTCTGATTGGTTGTTTGCGTTCAGGTCCAGTGGATTCTTGCAAATGCCATCAGAGGACTACAATGAGCCACAGGCACCTTTTGTTTTCACAGATTATCTCTCTCTTATGTACTACTGTGAGGTAATATTACTCATTATTGCAAGCTTGGTTTGAAATAAGCAGTCAAGGCTGCATGATATAATAATAAGAAAGACCATTCTAAGTGGGAAGAGACTATCAAAAACACTCAAATGATATAAAATGACGTGCTGCCTGTTCTGATATATAAATCCTGCCTGACAGGAATATCTATTTTTATTTATTGTATATTTCTACTATTTATTGTCACTTTGGTCAAATAAATTCTGAGGAAAAAGGTTGGAAAAGTATTTGTTGTACAAAAAACAAAAGGCAGGCTATTTGTAATTTTAATTTTAGGGTGACCAACACCAGAATAGGTTACTACAGATGTTCTACCAGTCTGTAGTGGCCAGTGCCATCTTTTTTGCTGTGGTGTGCTGGTGAGGTGACATCAGAACGTGTGGTGCCAACAAACTAGGCAAGCTGGTGAGGAAGGCCAGCTCGGTGGTGGGGATGGAGCTGGACAGTGTGGAGGCTGTGACTGAGAGAAGGATGAGAGGGAAGCTGAAAGCCATCATGGACAACCCCTGTCATCCTTACACTGAGCTGAAGGCAGCTGAGCGTGAAACATTGCAGTTATCCATCTTAGACCATATTCCACTTTATTATTACATTTTATCTTATATTTTTTTATTTTATTGTATTTTTATCTTTTCCTACTCTCACTACATTTCCCCTGTGCTGCTATGCCAAATTTGAATTTGCCCTGCAGGGGATCAGCTAAGGAATATCTTAAAGTGCTAGAACCCAGAGGGTCTGCAACCTTTGTTATGACAATCATTTGGGAGATGAACATCATATTTTGTTTGAATGTAAGAATATAATTATAATGAATTATTGAGAAAGATATTTATATATGTTTTAAATAAATGTCTGAACCAAAGTAGTCATGGGACATATAGTGGAGACAGAGTATAGCTAGTGGAGTTCAATATATAAATGATTTATGAGGAATTATTGTCAGAAAAGAGGCAAGAAATAAGGGAAACAGCCAGACAGTCATCACTAGCAGGTATATATATCAATAAAGTGACATTGTGTCCTCCCTGAAATCATCTGTTTGAAAAATAATTCTTGAACAATTAATTTAAGATACTGTTCTTTTGCTTAGTTACTTACACAGTGCCATTGCATTGAAATTATAAAAGACTATTAATTGCAGAGCCTATCATATTTATAAATATGTAACAGAGAGTATGGATAATAATTATAATGTTATTTCATAGAGTAATAGTTCTGTTTAAGGTGGGAGGATAAGCTAGTAAATTTACTATAAGCATAAAGTATAAAGGACCATTGACACAAAAGTTACAAATGATCTGACAACATATTTATTACATATACTACTGTCACATATTCAATAAATGTTGATTACATGGTCGTTTTAGGTTTTATTTTACTTTATACCTCATTTAATGTTTTTAGCTATTGTTTTTATATATGTGATAGTTCTATCTATCTAAAAAGTACTGTATATGTGCAACGTTGCAACAAACATCCTTGACAGCCACCCCCAATAGACAAAAATGAAACAATTTTGACCAATAGGTTGCTTTAAAATGTTGTTACGTAATCATAATATAGCATGGGTAACCAATCGCGGGACTTCAGGCGGTTCTTGCAAGCCCTTTTGATGTGTGCGTGAGCGTGTTCGTCTGCGTGTTCGCAACACATCAACTGGAGACAGCCACGTGACTGCTCATGCCGCCCATTTATTGGTCAGGCTGAGCGGAGGGCGTGCCGACGGTGGCGGCGTGCGTTTGCCTATGTGACACAATTACAACAACTTTGAGCCGATGGTTGGGGAAGTTTGCGATAAATCAAGTAACACTCACCCTTAAAACCCAACATCACATCAACTTCATGCATAAATTGGCACTGGAATACACGCTGTGTTTCGATGCACAATGAGGAGTGTGGAAGGTAACTTGAAGGGATTTCCTTGAGGATTTGGCAAGAATTGCGTTACGCCCCGTTTTAGTCCTGGATAGGTGTGCAACACTTTCGTTGTTATTGCGTTTTGCCGGAGTTGCTCGGTTCCGTCGATCTTCCTATTTCTTTCCCATGAAATCGTGCGGAGTGTCGCTCACAGCCGCTGCCTCCGCTGCCGCCCGGAGTCTCAGCGTTGCTGGTAATGACGAGGAGAAAATGGCGTCGGGAACAGCGACTGAAATCGAAGAGGACTTTCCGAAGCTAACAGCGCAAGAAAAAGAGAGCCTGGTCGGAACTGACAGGTTAGACGCTCTGTTGTGGGAACACTCTCACTCGCTTTTTCTCTGCAATATGTTTGAGTTTAAAACAACAAATATGATTGCCCCCCCCCCCAAGTAATACGGAACCGCCTGTGTGTTGTCTGTCCTCTACTTTGCAGTACACTGTTTGGATTTCATAGGCTTCAAGAAGATGGCGCCAGAACGAAGGCCTTGCTGTTAAAGGTATGCCAGAGAATAGGATCACAGTCGCCTCTGTCGTCTATGTCCTCTGATTAGTGCATATCCCACCTCAAATAGGCTGTACAGACCTGCCAACGCCACTCTTGCTATACGGCTAGCCGCGGCACACACAAGCCTCAATTTCCCCAACTTTGATGCTGAACCAGCGCCTGACTGCAAAAGCAGCTTTCAATTGTAGACGTGATCATTGCATTTACATAGCAACATTTGCACAGCATATAACTACTCGAGTACATTTCTGTAATGTTCTGTAATATTGAACGGGCCCAAATTAGCACACACAACGTTGTGCAAGTTAAACTGCAGGACGGTATGAATCTCCACCTTACTGGAAGCGGTGGTGTCATCTGTTGTAGGGAGAATAGGTACCATGCTAGGTGATAGCATTGTATGGACAGTTGTAGACGTGTTTGTCATAGCATAACTGCTACCAACGCAATGGTGCTTGAGGGGAAACAGGCGTGTATGAAGAAAACGCAGTTCTGTTACTTTGCTAGTTACACTTGCAGGCTAAAGTAAGGGGGCTTTAATGTGAGGTTAACAAATGTAACACCTACCTACGCTACCGGTTATATGCGACGTTCGAAAGTGTGACAACACGCTTAAAAAGAGGGCAAATGCACATTTCCGTCACGTTTATCGAGAGAGAAGACATTAGATTGACAGAAATGTTGGTAGCCCACTACACCATCCGTCCCATCCTCTAACGGCAGCTAGAGTTTGGGTTGTGCGTCAGCTCACTGTGGTTAGCATGTAGCGGCTAACTGTCCAGCGGTTTCTCCCTCCGTCACTCGCATATACAGCTAACGTTGCTACGGCACCACTTAGCCGACATTATCGAGGGAGAAACAAACACATAGTGGTAGATTAGGGTTGCAAAATAATGGCTGCTTGACTTGGCCCAAGATGGCGGGGATGGGAAGAAAATACCTAGCAAACGTTTGCTAGCTAACTAGCAGTGGCTAGGCTAATCACCATTCGCATAAAAGCGTATCACGATGAAGGCGTTCAAATGTGTGTGTGTGTGTGACAAAGATGATTGATTTATGAAGCGGAAGTCGGGGGCACCCGCTTGGCTAACGGTATAGTGCTTGATGCACACATAGCAACCGTGTTCCTGCAGCCCATGTTAACACCGTTCTGCTGCCTGTACTCGGTCTGCGCCTTCAACATGTGGCTCCTAGGTCTGAGTGACATTGTTTTGTCAGGGTGTACTCTCAGGTTAGGCCCAGCCATGCACCCACTTATTGCCATTTTTGTTGCTGTCCTTCATACTCTGCTGGATACCTGGCCAGGCAGGCCTGTCCACACTATATCATTAAACTTAGAAGATCTGATTGTGGGATCTTTATTTGTGATAGGATCACACGTAAATAATGTTGCATCTGTGTGGTGGGAAACATCTATATTGATAAGTTCCCTTTATATCCTCTCTCTGGACTCTACCATTTTGAAATGTGGGGGAAGGGATGTATTAGTTGAGCATGAGGTGCTGTTTAAACTGATACAGAGTCAACACAACATGTGAAACCATGAATTCATTACATGCATTTCCTCACAAGACGCTTTAAGTATGGCTGTAGGGTGTAATCACAAGATGATTTTGATTCTTAGAGCAAAGATGTGTCATGACACAGTCTACCTACCATTCAATTTTGATTTGGAAAATGTGTGGCTGTCTCTAAATCGTTATAAATATCAATGTATAAATACATACATAAATGTTAACGCCAAGGCACTTGTTCGAAAGATCAGCATTTATTTCAATAGCAATAAACAAATGCAGTATACACTTAGGCATTCATTTTAATAGATCCTAACTTTCAAAATCAATGTTTCTGGATTTTCAGTGCTAAATAAAGCATTAATGTTTTGAGTGAGGTCCGTATTACAGGGTTCCCACCAGACCTTTTTCACAGCAGCCCTTTTGATGTGAAATAGTAAACACAGCTGTTACCAATGGTACTAATTAAGGTTCTGTTCCATTCAGGTTAAACAACAATGTTTGCTCACTGGAAAGGCTCTGCTATACTAAATAGAACAGAGCCTATAAAAAAACCGATCCGGATAAATATTTTACCATATCGGCCTCGTGTCCAGACGGATAAGGCGTTTTTGAGGTGTGAAAACGGTATTTTTTGAGAACGGGTCCCAGAGTGGGAAAATCCTAAAACGCCGGATTGCCCGGAGTCGTCTGGACGGCCAATACGGATTTTTTCCAAAACGATGACGTATTAGCTCCGCTTCTCTAGCCTTTGACCTCATCCACCTCCGCTAGACGCGTCTTAACAACAACAACGGCGGACTACAGGCTTGTGCACAGCGCGTGACCTTTATACGCATGCTCCATGGCTTCTATGGCTTTCTTTTTTGGTTTAGTGTATTGGTTTTGTGGCGCATTACAGCGGACCACATTACAGGCCTGGCATATGTACTACAGCGTTTTTGGGTCGGTTTTCCAGCGAATCTGTGTGAACGCAGATATTTCTGGAAACGATGTCGTTTCGGAAAAATCTCCGTAAACACGGCATCGTTTCCAGGATTGGTTATTTGGGGTGAGGGCCGCATATTCGTGTGGACAGGGCCTTAAATCAGTAGCATATGGTAATACCTACAATTTCACGTCAAAATGGTTGCTGTGAAAAAGGTCTATTTGGAAACGGCGTAAAAATCAAGGCTTGTGGTGCAAGGACGGCCTGTTTTGTCAAGAACATTTCCTGGAAAGGCCCTGGAAAAGCGATTTTTGTTATTTTGTTTTTTTTTTTTTTTTTTTAAAGAGTGGAGCAATCTGTAATGATGGAATGTGTTCTAAATCTTCATAAATTATGTGGCATAATTTATGAAGATTTAGAACATTTTCTATAGTGCAGAAATAGGGGTGATGATCATTAGGCTAACAAATAAAATCCCCACTATTAACCTATGGGGCCCGAGGGATGTGATCTGCTTTTTCTGCTAAAAAAGAATAATGTAGTTTGGTATGATAAGAAGTAGATCTTTAGCATGCTTACTTCCATGCTTAAATCCTATAAGACTTACTTTTGTAGTATACTGGCAACTATGTGCCGCGAACAAACAACACCAATAGTGTGCTTACTGTGTTATTTTAATGTTGTCTATGCTAGATACAGATACAAGGGATTCAGAAGGATCAGATATAAGAAACATTATTCATTGCCTGCTCCTGCAAGCTAAATTTATTGTATGTGTTGCTAACTACTACTTGCACATTCTGTGTGAGAGAGATCTTCATCTTCTTTTGTAATACTGAAAACCTCAGTACCTTACCAGCAGGGGCGTTTCCAGACTTTTTGACTTGGGTAGCACAATTGGGGCTCTGACTTATACAGGGGTGGCACGAATTATGTGTCTTGACTTTCCAGTCATTCCCAATTTTCAAGTCCAACACTGTTTATGGAGCCCAGTATGCAGAAATGCAATAGGAATAAATTCTACCACATATACCACATTGGTTTTTGCCCCCAAACTGTATGAGATTAGCAATAAGTTGGCACATCTGCAAAGAGAAGACTCATGGGTACCCAAAGAACCCTTTTTCATTCATATATCTTGAGGTCAGAGATCACAGGGATTCCTTTGAAAATGACTTTGCCAGTTTTTCCATTGCAAAAATGTAGCTTAAGTTGTGAGCGTTATTTTGCCTCCTTCCTGACATGCTTTATCTAGTATCTTAACTATATTCTTTACAACGAAGCCTGCTACCGCATCTGAAAGACTGTGGAGTGGAAGAAGGAAGGATAATTGGATGGCCAATTAGATTTTCCACCCCACGCTCCCACCTACCAGGTTACAAACAGAAACACAACATTGTTAATGGTATTCTGTTGACTTAAGGATGAACTGTACAAAAACATAATGTAAAAACATACAGAACTGTAGTCGAATTGGTATGTCACAATACAGCGATTTCATTTCAGTCATATGACAAACTCGTGGCTAGATTGTTTGACTTTAGAAAGTTGTAGTTGGTATTCGATGTATCCATTAACATTGCCATGGTTTTCTGTTCTCGCACATTGCATCCACCATAATTGTTTTGTTCACGCACAGATACCTGTACACACAGTCATCCTCACTAATCATCCCTCTTTAGAGGCTGCAGTGTGAGTTATCAGGAATTTGTTTAGCCGTTGTTTAAATACTGACAATGTCCATATTTGGGCATACAACTGGTACTATGCAAAACAGCCCTGGTAGGCTGGGAGGACACACCCCTTTGGTAGTGTATCTGCCAGCTGTGTCACCACCTTTTAATAAACCTATGCATTAAGGTCAGGCTCAAATCTTCCTACCACATTCACATGATCAGTTTTGTGTAATATGCATGGGATCTACCAACCATCCATTGCAGCTGTGTTTTAACACAACCCTGCTGTCCTTCTTTCGTTTAGGCCGTTAGCTGCTATGATGCCATCATCCTGAAAGCAGAAGGGAAAGTGGACCCTGACATTTTCTGTCAGCTGGGCCACTTTAACCTGCTGCTAGAGGACTATCCAAAAGGTGAGAGTCTCCATGTGTAAATCTTTATCTCGGGATCAGTTGAGTATCTTTTGATTGTTATGTTTGGATTGTCATTTGATGTCAGCTGTTATTGGTTGCTAAAACCTGCTGAAAAAAATGACCATTTTGATTAGACATTTTGTGCTTGTATTGAAAACTTTCCTGCTGGAAATGAAAGTGCAGCTAAACTATATATATTGAGTATTTAACATTGTCACTAACTGTTCATTATCTCCGTCTGTGTCTCCTTTCTTTTATCCATCTCACCACTTTCTCAGCATTATCTGCATACCAGAGGTACTTCAGTTTACAGTCGGACTACTGGAAGGTGAGTTTTCACAACACTCCTTATTGCTGTGTAAAAGATCCAATAATAAAATCTACTTCACAGGCTAGGGAGCCACTATTCTTTCTGACCTTCCTTACTGTCCTCTCCTGTTGTCTGCTGTTGGGTCCGCATGGTCCTCATTGGAATACAAACTACTGCACTGTACACCTAACTGCAGTTGGAAGTCAGAGCAGTCAGAACATACCAGGACAATGACACATTTTCTCTTTATACACACTCTCCCAGTTTAAGGTGTCTCCATGAAGCAGAAAGCAGAGTGCTATTTGCCTCCACATATTTACTTGTTTCCTGTAAAAACAGGCCGCTAGGTAGGAATTTGTTATGCTAATGCTATGAGCTAGCATCAGCGACTAGAGACTAGTAGAAAATGGTACACCTCTTCTGACAGCTTGCATTCAAATGCGTGCATATTGCAGGGATACACCACTGCAGTAATGGCAACTTGTGTACTTACTTCACTGTAAGTACTGTACCTACTTACTTCAGTGCATGTAAAGCCACTAAGAATCAGCAACAAAAAACAGCACTGAAATGTTTTATGTTGCCGCTCAACAGCTCACATTTTGCATAAATGTTTACACATGGCAAAGGCAGAAGTTTATAACATCCACATGTATACATTCTGCACCAATGTGAAAGGAAACATACAGCAACAGCAAATCTCGTACTCAAAGACCCATCTTTTATTCTGTATATAATTCTGGAATTACTCAGATGGAATTAGCAGAATTTACAAGTTCATGGTGACTTTGTGTGTAGAGAAATGTTTTTCCCTGTGCACTGATACACTAGCCTAAACTAAACTAGTAAGAAGAACTGACCTGTACCAACAGTGCCTGAGATACACTGCCAGAACTGAGGGCAATTGAAGGTCACACAGTAAAATAGTGATCTATGCTAATACAGAGCAGACTGGACTATGGACTACTTGTGGTTGTTACAGTTTATTTGACAGTTGGAAATAGTGAAACCGGTCAGAAGTGTCAGTCTGGTATTGTGATTGGAAGGTCAAAGTCCCCTTTACACTGTGTGAACTTGGGTTGTCATTGATGATCGTCGCAAGAAAAACTGCACTAAATCGTTGGTCCTCTATGAGAGAGAGAGAGAGAGAGAGAGACATTAATAGTAATGATCGATGACGATCATGAAAAAGACGATGACAGCAGCAACGATGGGGGACAGCGAGCAGCGACAACAGTAACTGTAGCAATAATAATACTTAATAATAACTAATAATATAATATCAGTGATTTTAGCAATGGTAGTCAAGCAGGACCAATGGCAGGAGGCTCCACCCAGGATCCATGAAAACTGCAAGACGAGAAAAGCACAAAACTCCGGGGAAGAAGTGAAGTTTAGTAAACATGTAATATATAAACCTAATTAATGAGTTTAAATTAGATATTGTTATAGCTTTTCTACCATAGACGACAAGTATCTAGCAAGCACATATGTGATATGCGAGTATAAGCCATAACGTTAATGCAGTAGACGCTAACCATTAACCAGGTGGCAAGCAAAAATGAACACAGACACCCAAAAAACACTGCACAATTTAGTTTTACCAATTTGACACTGCAAAAGAATAAACAGGAAAGTGTGCTCATGTAAGGCGTGTGACAGAGAAGCTCATCTCTTTCATCTGTTCGTTCTTCAATCACTTTCACCCCACATGGCTACAGATGGCCAAGGAGCCATTTAGGTTTTGTGGAAGATCCGCCAGTATCTCATCTCCCCTTGTTTTCTTTTCTTCGTTTATTGACACAACATACAAAAATGGCCTTTCTCTGCCAGGACTCCAGACTTCCCCTCCTCTTTTCTATTTCTTTCCCACTTGCTTTCACTGAGGCCTAATTACATGGTGGACAGAGTAATCGATACAGGAGAGAGTGAAAGTCCCCAACAGGCAGCTTGAGGACCCTCTTAACTCTCTTCAGTCGACCCTTCTCATACTTACACTTGCACAGTAGTGAGTCATCTTGACTTTTTGCAGACATTATACCCAGGCTTGCCTATATTCCCATAGCGCAAACAGAGGAAGTGCATTACACTTTACCCCAGGGCAGAGCAAATACACATCTCTTGGAAAAAAGCAGCCTCCATGTTGTTGCTATGCGCTAAACAAAAATTATGATGGACCACATTTATATTTGATGTTATGTGCATTTATACACCCTGTTGTTTTGTTCACTGTGTTTCCATTGAAATAATGTATCAAACATCAGCAGACGACAACACTGTATTGCTGACAAGCTTAAAAGACTGTGGAAAAGCAGTTGACCTAGCATGCATGTAGGCCAACTGATTTCACAGACATATTCTTCCTTTCCTTT